CTCTCTCTATGTATACATCTAAAACTCTGTTTCTTCCCTAAACAGGACTATAAAAAAGTGGAATACTCACCCCCCCCTTAGTCTCTCTTCCTACATGAGCATTTCATAACTGAATGAATTTTTTGTATCTCTTCATTGGATAGTACTTCTTTTTTTTGGTAATCCCTTTTCATTTACAATGTCCCCTAACCAATCATTCATAATCGGCCAAAGCGTTGACACAAAGAATATCCAAATACCAAATTCGCCCTCTATATAACTTTCGCGAAGTCGAATAAGCTCTTGGGAAGATCAAAGAAAGAACCTGTTCTTCCTCTGTCAGAAATTCTTCCAACAATTCTGAGCCCAATCTTTTCAAAAAGGAACGTACAGTACTCTTGTGTTTACGAGCCAAAGTTTTAACACAAGAAAGTCGAAGTATATATTTGATCCGATACAATTTTTTTTTTTTTGAGGATCTACCGTAATAATGAGAAAGACTTCTGCATATACGCACAAAACGATCAATAATATCAGGATGAGTCGGTTCAGATCGGCTTACTAATGGGATGTCCTATTGCGTTACAAGATTTTGCTTTGGACAATGATCCAATCAAGGCGAGAATTGGAATTTTTGTCTCCAGCTTCTTCATAACATTATCTACTATAAATGAGTTTTCTAGCATTTGATTCCGTACCACTAAAGAATCTAATCGCATACTTGAACGATAACCCAGAAAATCGATAGAATTTTTCGATAATTGGTTTATTCGGATCTTTATCCTTCTTGATTGAGACCACATGTAAAAATAATATTGCCATAAATCGACAAAGTAAAATTTCCACTTATTCATCAGAAGAGGCGTATCCTTGGAAGAAAGAATTGATTTTCTTTGATATCTAACAAAATGTATGAAAGGATCCTTGAACAAACATAGGTTAGCCTGAAAATCATTAGCAGAAACTTCGTACTTGTCTGGATTCTAACTTAGACGCATTCAATCATAATCCATAAATCCAGCACGCACAATCTCCACGTTCCACAACACTTTCTATTTTGTTCCATTGTCGACTTTCAAAAAACACTGCTTAGTTTGTAAAGAAACAAGAACAACAACAATTAATTCATTGGATAATACATTTTTGACAAGTCAAATATGTGATAAGATTGTGTGAAATGTTCTAAAATATTATCCTTTTCTACATTTTTAAGGTATTTCATTTCTTTAATTTTATATAAATGAATTTAATAATTTTTATGATAAATAAATAAAATTAAAATTTTTTAATTTAAATAAAAATAACTAATAAAAATTAGGTATAAAATTATTTTAATTATTATCTACTTATTATATAAAATTATATAATTAAATTGTATTTACAAAGAATTAAAATAATTAAATCCAACAGTAAGATAATAGAGAAAAGAATTAGAGCTGGTTGAATGTATTTATTGAAATTCTGCAACAGGGATTTGTAGAAGTAGATAGGTAGATCAATAAGTGGGCCTCAATTCGATTGCCGGTTCCCTCATCTTCTGAACCTAGCTCTGCGCATCTCCTCGTTGCTTAGACCAAATCCTCATCTCTGACTCTGCTGCAAAGAAACAAATTCAGGTTTCACCCTCGTTGCTTAGCGTGGCCTATTTGAACTGTTTGGATACTTAAACAATTGATATTTGAAAGATTAAGTAATGAGGTTGAGCATGATTCGATGCACAATCAGTCACCTCTTCTAGAGCTTCCTACTTGAATTTTTACGTAATTTTTTTTTTTCTGAATCCTTTATACATATTTTAAATCAAAATTTTAGAAGAAAAATTAAAAATGATGAAGATAAACTTATTTGCTTTAAGGTTTTTTTTTTTTTTTTTTTTTGGTGTTAAGCGCTGGTATAAGGTGTATTGATTTTAGCTTCTGATCTCTCATAGAACTTAATGTAGCAATACTTATACTATATTTGATAATTTTGTGAGCCTCTATTAGCTTCTGTTAGTCCATTTTATATAGATATATGATGGCTAAGAAGGATCAAAAACTCATTCACCAGGTACTCTTCCATTAAATGAATCCAACGGCTTGAAAAAGATGAGCAAAAACAGAACAGAGATGAAGCTAGTTTGGTCTCGAGAGACTGTATCCAAAAGCCTAACAGATAACAATAATAAATTGCTCTCAAATGATTGCTTAATTAGTTAAGAGTTTAAAATTTTAAATTAAAAATTTCATATTCAAATCTTGAATTAAATAGAAAGGAACAAGGATAAAACTTGGGTAATATTTTAAGAGGTGCTAGCAATATGTATATATATATATATATATATATATATTATCACATACAAATGTGATATAAGTAACATACAAATAAATTTAATAAGTATTATATTTGTTTCTTTTACTAAAAATTTATCACAAATTAGTTAGTATCTTTTTTATTTCAAAATAGACAAATATTTTTTCCACTTACCATACTTTTATCCCTAAGCTTTATTCTTCATCATATTTATAGGTATATTCTATAGTATAAACTATAGGCCCCTCTTTGACCGCAATAGGAAGGATTGACTTTAAAATACATGCAAATTAATTTGAAAACACATTTATTATTAAAAAGAAAATCTCAACGATGATAGATATGGGTTTGTTAGAGTTTAGATTAATTAGATACCAAATTAACTAATAATAAAGGAGATCAAGCTAATTAAATACTCTTAACAAAAAAAAAAACTCAAAACATAGTTAATAAAACAAAGTGTAGTAATTAACTACATCCCACTGAGGTAATTGATCAATATTTCATGTGCATAACTTAAAGAAACCCAAAATATTATTATTTATTTGACAATGAATTTCTTTAACTTAAGAGTAAAATATATCATACATATTAATTTTTTTTCCAAAATCTTAGGGGGGTATGGTTCCTTAGCCCTATTAAAGTGCCGTCTATGGGAAGAGATTTGAAAAAAAGAAAGAGTTATATCTTTTTGTATAATTTATAATCAAATGTAAAAAAAAAAAAAAAAAAAAAGTTAACAGCATTAAGTTTGTAAGACACAAACCTTCTAATTATTTTTTTCCTAAATTTTCATTTTGGGTTTCCACTATATATGTTAGGTTGCAGTATAAGAATTTTTAAGAATCAGGAGTGGCAAAGCTTATTTCAGGCATGGCTGGGTCCGAGAATATGTATATTATGAATTTTTCGATGATCTTAATGGAAAGAAAATGGATAATTTTTAATTGGGTTAATGGAGGCTAACCAAAGTGGATAGGACTATAAATTACCAGTTTTTTTAAAAGAGGTAGATTTTATTTGTTACTAAAAAAGATTTTAGATATTCTTTACCTATTTTTTAATGTGCAAGGATTTTATTTGCCATTAAACATATATTTTTTACATAATTTTATGACAAGAATGTGTCTTAGAATACAATGAAATAATCTGAATAATTTTAAGATTATTTGTAGGCTTTGTTTGGAGAACACAATGAAATTTAAATAGTTTTCTTAGGGGGAAACTTATAGCATGTTTGGTTTGAGAGGAATGGAGGAAAAAAGAGGGGAGGGAAAGGGAAGGACAGAAAGAAATTTTTTTTATTTAGTTACCAATAAAATTGGAGGGAAGTGGGAGGAAGGTAGTGTTTGAGGTTGCTTTCTCGTTGCCTTTTTTCTATAGTATCTTATAAAAATATTAATTTATTATAATTAAATTAATTTTAATTAATATTTTATATAAATAAATGATTATATTAATATATAAGACTTTTTTCAAAGTAATTATCAAATAATAATATAATTTTTTTCGTGATAAAATATTAAAAAACTCACAACTACAACTCTTCGTAATAATGTCAAATACAAGCAAAGTTTATTGAAATATGCACCTCTTCTATATTTTTGTAATTTTTCATCTTAATGTACTTTAATGTTGAAGTAAATCCACCTATATACTTTTTCATTGAAATAAATCAACCTAAATTTAGTAGATGATATCATAATATGTCACATTTTCGTGAAATCCATTGTAGGCCCATTAAGGTCTTGAAGGTTTGGCGTATGTAGCCTCTTTTTTTTGTAACATGGATAATTTTAATCAAAGCTAGACATATTTTGATGACATAGCAATCCAATTTCTTATGCAATGTTTCATGTGAGTAGTGTTTATTAGCTGGATTTGTGAAAAATTAGGTTAAAAAACTTGAAAACTAATTCATTTTAGTAAAGTATTATAAGAAAAAACTAAAATAATATTATTTTTGTTTTAAAAAGTATGTTATTTAATATTTTTCAATGAGAATTTATTAGAATAATGTAATTTTTAAGTGTTTTTTCACCTAATATTTTGTAACTCTAGCTAATAAACAGTTTTCCAATGTTTCATTAGTAGAAGAATTACTAGTTTGCTTTCTTAGAAAAAAAAAAAAAAAGAATCAAATTCGGTTCTTATTTGGTTTTTGAGAAATGAAAAGAAATTGAAAATGGAAATATTTCATAAGAAAAAAATGAAATTGGGAGTTCTTGTTTGGTTTATGAGCAAAAGAAAAGAATGAAAAATTAAAATATTTCTCTTTTTGTTACTAATCCATTAATATTAAAAAAAACATTAAACTCCAATTAATTTAGAGTCGAATCACATTGAACCCCATAAGATAAAAGCTCTACTAGTACTTATTTTTCAATTCACAAAATTTAAATTTAAAACCTTATTTAAACAAAATTGATTTCTTTTCATTCGAATCAATAAGTTATTGGTAAAATTAAAATTCATTGAAACTAGAAGAATGACTGTTTGCTTTCTTAGTAAAGAAAATGAAAATATATGTTGATTTTCTTGCCATCCCCAAATTTGTTTTTCTAATAAAGCCACCCAATTTTTTTTTTTTTTATGGAGCCACCCAAAAATTTTTAGTTTGATAGAAATATAAATTTTGATATAAATCAATTCAAATTTTCAAATCTGTCATTCTAATTAATGAAATTAATTTCATTAATTTTTTATCATTATAAATTAATTGTTGATTATCTTTTATCAACAGTAAAACAAATTTGTAATTTGAATGCCAAACTAAAAAAGAGTTGGTAATTTGAACTAAAATCTAAAAAGTTGAAAATATTATTATATTATAAATAATGGCATGTTTGGCAATAGGCATACATATTTATTTTCAAACCGCAGCTCTTCAAACATGAGACTCGACTATTATACTGTCTAATCCAACCTCATCCAATTTAATTCCATTATTTATATCATATCCAATCTTATCAAATCTTGTATTCCAAACATATTCTAAAAGTATTAGGACCATACAAATTTTATTTATTTATATAAGGAAAAGAAACCTCGACTTTTAAAATAAATTAGAATCCTAATTAATTTTAAATTATGTTATTTTATTTAATTAAAACTTAATTCAAAATTTAAAAATCTATCTTATTAAAGGTTAATATTTAAATTTAAAAA